TGCACTCGCATCATAGATCTCCTACTTCATGTAATCATATCATAGATCTCCTACTTCATGTATTCACCCCATAGATCTCCTACTTCATACAATCACACCATAGATCTCCTACTTCATACAATCACACCATAGATCTCCTACTCCATGAAATCACACTTGACACTTGAATCTTATTCAAGTTCATCACAAACAACTCAAACCTTAAGTTTGATTCTATCGACATTTAGAACAATCCTTAACTAGCATCACAATACTATTAAGATTATTCCTACAACTCATTTATTCTTAATGGTAGCCCCTCCATATCAATAGATATGTGGCAGCCTCCCATGTGCTAAGCATCATCATGCAATTATACATTTACATACACATAACATTCATACATGAGTTGGAAAGGTCATTTTACCATATTAACATACTTTTATCTCACATAACTCCATATTCATCAATATGGTTTCAATTCGTGATCAAGTCCATTACTTATCATTCATATCATGTTCAAGCATATTTATTCACAAAAACATGATTCAAACATTTAGGTAATCTTATGCATAACCTACAAGTTGTAAGCAACTAGATGTCGGTCCTCACCTTAATTGAGCTTTAAACTTTTCCTTCTTGATCCAATGACCAAAGTCCCGGCCAAGGAAGTTTGAGAACTGATTCCTTGCTTGGAATTGAGTGTTAAACAGCCCCCTCAAAGTGCTAGTTCAACTCCTAACCGAAGACACAAAAACAGTCCCTAGAACGAGTGTTTCCCGATGAATTCGTTCCCTAACCTTTCAAGGTTTTGTGTAGGTTAGTATCTAACCTTTCTAACAATTAAAGTCACTTTATAATAACATTTGATACACTTCAATCAGTGTATAATAATTCTTCAATCATTTATATGATTTAGACAATAGAGAGGAAGGTTTTGGATTCAAACTTACTTTGAATACAAAAACGTATTCCGCGAGGTTGTGTTTTGCTCGGACGATTTGGAAGCCTTCCACTACTCCGATTGATGCAACCCAGACCTTCACGGATTCCTCGTCTTGAGAGCTTTCTGTGGGTATCTCGCACGCCTTATTTGGATGTGTATAACTCGAGATATGAAGCAAACAAGTAACCTTACGCACTGGAGAACGAACCTGCGGCAGCTTCCCCTTTCTCTTGCTTTCTTGGTTGTGTGGCTCTCTCCTTCTCCCTTATCCTTGGGAGTTCGAATGAGGGGCTTAAGGGAGTGTCCAAGACCCTTCAATAAGGGTGGATAAGTTGTGTGGAGTGAAATGAATTGGTATGGTCTCCATGAGATGTTTTTAGACATGGGTGGGTCTCACTTTTGATCTCTTTGTCATAAGATGTCTCTTTGTACTCATTCTAATTTATTTGGAACAAGTCAACCCTCTACATCATATTATTGATCTCCAATATGTGTATGATCATCCCAATAATTTACATGATGAATATTATAGAAGAAACACCCTACTCCCATTATTTAGCTCAATAATGCCAAAGATGGGGTTATAGGCATTTGTATTCTTCTTGAATCATTCTATCACTTATTTGACATTTGTCATACATATTATTGGGCTACTAGCCGTGTGGGTCACTCCCGAGTGGGTCTAGAACGCCATTCTTGAATACTTGCTATTTTTAGCAGGTTGGGTCCAAAATAACGTTTGGGCCCAAAATAACGTTTGGGCCGCCCGACCTTCCTCAATTTGTCTTGAAAGGTCAAATATTACTATTTAGAAAATGTTGGGCTCCTTTATCTATTAATAAGTCCCAAATAGTATCCGTGTGTCCGACACTAATATACGAGTTCGAAGAGTACAATATTCGATCATTAATTACGTAGAACATAAATCGTTTTACAATTGTTTGGGAACCGGAAATCCAATACATAAACTTTGAATATTTAAATCAAATCTCCAAGGACATTCGGGTGCGGTGTCACACTAAGAGCTTCATCCTTCCTCTCCGGCAGTTTGCGGCGGCATGGCGGTTCCTGGGTATCATCTTCTTTAGTTCTTCCATGGCAGCACTTTGTTCTAATCTTATTACCGCAGGTCCAAAACACTTGTGTCGCCAACACGGAGAAAGACCTGCAAAACATAACAACAAGAAACACCGTGGCTCGAGTCGCGTAAACGCTGTCCTCTGAAAGTATTTCCGGTGAACGGAAATCTTCCCCAGGATTAAACGAGCCCTTCGACTAATAGTCGGAACCAGAACTACGAGGGAAATCATCAAATTAATAATCCAGTATAAGCTTTGAAAAGAACCCATTTTCTGTGTGTAAAGTATTTGGAGAGAAAAGCTTGTAAGAGCAGTTTTGTTCGATGGTAATCTTAGAGCACAGAGCTTCTTGTTTATTAATAGAAAAGGAGTTGGAAAAATAATTGGTTACTGATCCAAAATTATAGGAGAGAAAGAAGCTCAGCCATCTATTACTCCGTTAGCAAACATGCACGTTAGAAAACGGTTCACTCCAGTTAGTCAAATAAGTGCTCGGTCATTAATTAAATTAGACACTAATTAAATCAAAAGTTTTTATTTGAAATACTCTATATATATTTCCAACAATCCCCCACATATTTCAAATAAAAATTTTGAGGAAAAACATTTACAAAATTTGCTGGATTAAAGGAATGAGACTTTAAGTTTGGTGTCCGTAGACTATGAACCAAACCGAGACGATTAAGTCTTTATAAACCGAGCTTTTGGTGAAACGTATAGTTTCTATGAACCAAGAAGCTACTATGGTAAATCAGGGTCTTAATGGTCATGTCTCACCCCGCACAACTCCTCGCGTTAACGCCGTGGTGCGCATTTCGGCCGTGCGCGTGCCTGGTGTTCGTGAGTGCTCTAGAAGCGTTGTCAAGGCTTCATGGAGGCGGCCCCACCTCACACTCATATAGGTGATCTCATCAAGTGTGTTCTGCACTTAACACACCACCCGTAAGGGCTATGAAAATCATTAAGAGTTTTAGCTCAGCCTCTGACGTGCACTTTGTCGTGAGGTGCACTCAAAGTAATAATACAATACAACACAAATACGTAGTATAGTGAAGTAAGGTTCGTATCCACAGGGAAAGGAATACTTTTCTTCTTACAGAAATAGATAAGTAACAATAAGGGGGGTTTAAATTTGGTTGATGAACTTTAAATTATATTTAAACACGAAGATGAATGAGTTATGTGGTTTTATTGATAAAAAGAAGACTTGGCTTTGCTTTTATCCACTTAATGAAATGTTCGTCGATCCCGGTTATATCTTTAACTATCTTCCTCTCGAATACTCAATCGAGGAGTATATCCAGTTCATCGAGGGTAGTTATTAATAACGAGAAGCGTTCATTAATAAAACTTACTATCGAGTCAATATAGAACAAGCGCCGTATATTAACTTGATAGTAGCAATAAAATCAAGATGAAAACGATTGAGATTCATAACCTCAACACAAGCGGTTTATTAGTTTAATCAATATAATTAATTCCCCTTGGCTTATTAATCATGAGAAGCATGCATTAACAACCCAAGTTTACTACCATTGAAAGAACCGAATTAATAACAAACGTATTAACCGATTGATTCTAGTAATAATTAATATATGAAACAAAACTAGTTGATCCTTTAAGTAATGTTCAAAATATTAATATGAAATATGAATATGAATTAATTAATACTCAAGAAAGAATATTAAAGAAGATGAATCCTACTATAGTTAATATCAAGATGTTAACTAATTGTCATCTTAGTAACACTCCCCGATATTAACGTAGAGGAAGAAATAACTATTACTATAACTAATGTCAAGATGTTAACTAATTGTCATCTTAGTAACACTCCCCAACATTGATATAGAAATAGTATTTAAAGAAAGAATTAATATTCAAGGAAGAAGATTAAAGATAATAACTCACAACTTACAAATTCATTAAGCTTCAAAGGAGCAAAACCAAGATGGAAGAGTTTAGCTCCTCATTTGGAGACTAAACATGCTATAAAAATATAAAAGAAATACTATTCTAAACTGAGCTTAAGAGTATGGAAGAAGGGATGATTATTTGTGAAGGAAAATGGGGCTATTTATAGGTGTTTTTCAACACCTTTGGCCGGGTACCCGACCGGGTAAAGTGCCCACCCGACCGGGTGCATGTCAAAATCAAATATCTTCCACGTTCTGGCGATCTTCGGCACGTTCTGGTGTTCCGGGTCAAGTCGGACCCGACCGGGTGAAATACCTCACCCGACCGGGTGATGTAATTTCCTGAGCAGTTTCGCATTTAAATTTCTCACCCGACCGGGTGCAATACCTCACCCGACCGGGTGATTGTCCTGGGCAGCCAAGAATTATTTTTCTTCACATTCAAAGTCTTCCTTTCCAACACCATAAATCCTAACTCTACTTTACAACTTACAAATGAGAACTAAAATACAATTACAACTAAAATCACACAAATGTTTATAAACTAAATAAAACGATAAACAATACACACAAATCAAACATAAAAACATACACTTATGCACTACTAATTAGTGCATATCAAATACCCCCACACTTGAACCTTTACTCGTCTCGAGTAAACCAAATCCAGCCCAAGAAGTCCTTAAAATGGCAAGAGTATCAACACCAACATCCACGTGTGTTTTTAGAACAACACGAAAAAATATCCCCAAAAATATAAGAGTAAAAGGGAAGTCTTCAACTCCCATATCTCTTATCAACCTCAATTATTTTTTCTTCGTTACCCTTAGGATCCTGCAGAAATAAAAGAAAATACTTTCTCTCATTCTCTCATTTTGCCTAGGTGCCCTTTCGGGTTTTCATCCCAGCTTCCCACATTTTTCTGTTTCAATCCTCACAACTCACTCTTATTTTTGCTTTATTTTTGCTTAAGTTGCCTTTTCAGGTTTTCAACTTAACAAGCTTTATTCTCTTTTTTTTTTGTGTTTTTTTTTTGTTTTTTTTATTTTGAAAAAAAAAAACTCAAGAATATAGAGTATGAATGTGAGTTTTCCCTGAAATTCTCCCCCCATGCTAATCAAAGCACTGTCCCTAGTGCTTGTGTCCGAGATGTCCAAGAGAATGAATCTCTTTGCCCTTTTTGGTGTCATTTCTTTCTTTTTGGTTGAGGAAATTTCGGCTTTTGCTGTTTGTGGAGTAAGGTGATTTGGATTTTTGGTGGGTTGTGGGTTGTTTGGTGGGTATGGAAATGTAGAGGGTGAGGAGGAGATGATGAGCATGATTTTTTTTTTGATGGATTTGGTGTAGAAATGGAGAGGATTCAAATATATGGAGTTTGAAAATGGTGTTTTGGTGGAGTTTGGTTCGTGTTTGCAGAAGAGGAAGTGAGGAAGAGGGTGGCCAGCTCAGTCGGTGAAATAATTCGCGACGACCCGGCCGGGTGGGGTAAGTTGACCCGGTCGGGCCTAACTCCCGATTATCCAGAATGTTTTTAATGAACATGCCCGGCCGGGTGTATTGAAGTTACCCGGTCGGGTATGTTCATTTTTCCTCTATTCCACAACTGCCTCGCCCGGGTGATTCGGCCGGGTGCTGTGTTTTATGAAGGGGCCCGACCGGGTTGGGTTTTATACCGGGCCGGGTTCAATCCCCAGGCCTCTTTTTTTTTTTTTTTTTTTTTTTTTTTTGAAGTGTAAACTTAAACTAGAATAAAAAGTAAACATACCTTACATGGGTTGCCTCCCAAGAAGCGCCTTATTTAACGTCGCTGCACGACGCCATCATTGTGTTCAGTCATGTAAACTTGGATCGTGATAGTTTATCTTCTTCACACTTTCACTCCTAGGACCTTCATAGGAATGATAAATTTCTCGACTCTTCACTTTGGAAATCTTTCCAGGATCAAATATCCAGATTTTTATTGATTCATGTGGTGGGAGGAAGGGGAAGAAATTATCGTTTAGCATGGTCAATGAGAAGTTTTTCGATCCCTCAATTTTGAAGGAGATTTCAGAAATGCCATTGTCCTTTTCAAGTTTATGAGTTTCTCTTAAAGAGTCCAGGGATGATGGAGATACCTCAAAGGATGATAAGGTCAGATATTGGACCTTGAAACTCGGTTCATTCTCTTCTTTGACTAGCTGGAACTCCGTGTTTCTTTCTTCTTGTATTTCTTCTGGATTTGGGATCTCCTTTTGCATTTCCTTCTCAATTGTCACTGTGATTGCAAAAGTTTGCTGTTTAGGATCACATTCTATTTGAGAGGAAAGTTCTCCTGAATCCCTTGCTTCGAGCCCACTCACGGCTCCGGCTATTTGACTCACTTGAGTTTCCAAGTTTAAAATTTTAGACTTGGTCTCATTTTGGAATTGCACCATATTGTTTTGTATGATGGTCATGTTGGTAGTAAGAGTCCGAAGCATGTCCTCCGTAGACATGTAGGGGAATGGATCATACATCATGTGAGGTACTTTCCTTTGGAAGCCAACATAATCAAAATTCTCAAGGTATTCTTGTTGGAGTTTTGGGCAAAAATCCGTAAGATGTCCGTGAGAAATGCAAATGTTGCATGTTTTGGCATCTTGAGCTTCTGAGCTTAAGATATATTCCTTTATTAGAGAAGTCAAGAAGGAAATTTGACTCTCTAAGGATGATGTGTTGGTATTCATATACTCATAACTCATGTAAGCTCAGAAAATAGAAGAGTAAGATTTTTTTTTTTATTTAATTTTTTTTTTCTTGAAATAAAATAAAAAGAAAAATAATTGCCTTTCCCCGGCAACGGCGCCAAATTTGACGTGCACTTTGTCGTGAGGTGCACTCAAAGTAATAATACAATACAACACAAATACGTAGTATAGTGAAGTAAGGTTCGTATCCACAGGGAAAGGAATACTTTTCTTCTTACAGAAATAGATAAGTAACAATAAGGGGGGTTTAAATTTGGTTGATGAACTTTAAATTATATTTAAACACGAAGATGAACGAGTTATGTGGTTTAATTGATAAAAAGAAGACTTGGCTTTGCTTTTATCCACTTAATGAAATGTTCGTCGATCCCGGTTATATCTTTAACTATCTTCCTCTCGAATACTCAATCGAGGAGTATATCCAGTTCATCGAGGGTAGTTATTAATAACGAGAAGCGTTCATTAATAAAACTTACTATCGAGTCAATATAGAACAAGCGCCGTATATTAACTTGATAGTAGCAATAAAATCAAGATGAAAACGATTGAGATTGATAACCTCAACACAAGCGGTTTATTAGTTTAATCAATATAATTAATTCCCCTTGGCTTATTAATCATGAGAAGCATGCATTAACAACCCAAGTTTACTACCATTGAAAGAACCGAATTAATAACAAGCTTATTAACCGATTGATTCTAGTAATAATTAATATATGAAACAAAACTAGTTGATCCTTTAAGTAATGTTCAAAATATTAATATGAAATATGAATAGGAATTAATTAATACTCAAGAAAGAATATTAAAGAAGATGAATCCTACTATAGTTAATATCAAGATGTTAACTAATTGTCATCTTAGTAACACTCCCCGATATTAACGTAGAGGAAGAAATAACTATTACTATAACTAATGTCAAGATGTTAACTAATTGTCATCTTAGTAACACTCCCCAACATTGATATAGAAATAGTATTTAAAGAAAGAATTAATATTCAAGGAAGAAGATTAAAGATAATAACTCACAACTTACAAATTCATTAAGCTTCAAAGGAGCAAAACCAAGATGGAAGAGTTTAGCTCCTCATTTGGAGACTAAACATGCTATAAAAATATAAAAGAAATACTATTCTAAACTGAGCTTAAGAGTATGGAAGAAGGGATGATTATTTGTGAAGGAAAATGGGGCTATTTATAGGTGTTTTTCAACACCTTTGGCCGGGTACCCGACCGGGTAAAGTGCCCACCCGACCGGGTGCATGTCAAAATCAAATATCTTCCACGTTCTGGCGATCTTCGGCACGTTCTGGTGTTCCGGGTCAAGTCGGACCCGACCGGGTGAAATACCTCACCCGACCGGGTGATGTAATTTCCTGAGCAGTTTCGCATTTAAATTTCTCACCCGACCGGGTGCAATACCTCACCCGACCGGGTGATTGTCCTGGGCAGCCAAGAATTATTTTTCTTCACATTCAAAGTCTTCCTTTCCAACACCATAAATCCTAACTCTACTTTACAACTTACAAATGAGAACTAAAATACAATTACAACTAAAATCACACAAATGTTTATAAACTAAATAAAACGATAAACAATACACACAAATCAAACATAAAAACATACACTTATGCACTACTAATTAGTGCATATCAGCCTCACAGCGAATGCAGTCTAGCCTTCCACACCATATAAAGGGACTTGTAATAAGGCTAGCAGAACAAATAGAAGACTTGTTATTACCCATATGAACTTGATTCATGGGATCTCCAATCACACAAGTTGGGTTACCATCCCTATTTGTAATCAAGTGACACAAGTCCCATTTCCCTCGAGGTTTCACTTATCATTTTTCGTCCTAGGGCTTTAGTCAAAGGATCCGCTAAATTTCCTTCGGACCTCACAAAATTAATGGAAATAATTCCATTCTTTAATAACCGTTTAATGACTTTATGTCTTAAACGAATGTGTCTATTCTTTCCATTATAACACATTTTCTTAGCAGTATTTATTGCACTTTGGCAATCACAAAGAATAGACACTGACGGTGTTGGTTTTGTACCAACCGGAATTTCTGCTAAGAAATTTTTCAACCACTCCGCCTCACTACTAGTCACTTCCAAAGCTATAAGCTCGGACTCCATAGTGGATCTAGAAATGAGAGATTGTTTAGTTGATTTCCACATAATAGCACCACCTCCAAGGGTGAATATATATCCAGTATTGGATTTAATCTCATCTGAGTCAGAGACCCAGTTAGCATCGATGTATCCCTCTAGTACAGCGGGTAAACCTCTATAAAATATACCATAATTCATGGTACCTCTCAAATATCTCAATAACCGCCTCAACGCGGTCCAATGATCCCCACTTGGGTTATGAGTATATCGGCTCAATCTTCCGACAGCATAAGCTATGTCGGGTCTCGTATAGTTCATCAAGTGTAATAAACTCCCAATTATTTTTTCATATTCATATTGAGCCTCAGGATCACCTCTATGCTTTTTCAAATGTGTACTAGAGTCATAAGGGATTTCCACAGGTTTGACATCGAAATGTCCAAACTTCTTTAGAAGTTTTTCAGCATAGTGCTCTTGAGATAGTATAATACCATCATCCTTCCTTATGACTTTAATACCCAAAATCAGTTTTGCTTCACCCAAATCTTTCATATCAAATTTTGAAGCAAGAAATAATTTTGTCTCATTTATTAACTCAATGTTGCTGCTAAATATTAGCATGTCATCCACATACAAGCAAATAATAATGCACACACCATTTTTTATTTTAGTGTATACACATTTATCTACTTCAAGTGAGGTAAAACCATGAGCTAATAATACTTCATCAAAATTTTCATTCCATTGTTTAGGAGCTTGTTTCAAACCATATAAAGATTTGACCAACTTACACACTTTGTGTTCCTGTCCAGAAACTACATGACCCTCCGGTTTCACCATATAAATTTCTTCCTCTAATTCACCATTTAAAAATGCCGTTTTAACATCCATTTGATGGATAAGAAGTTTGTGAATAGAAGCCAAGGCAATTAAAGTTCTAATGGAAGATATTCTCGTTACCGGTGCAAAAGTATCAAAATAATCAACATCTTGTTTTTGAGAAAAACCTTTTGCCACAAGCCTCGCTTTATATTTGTCAATAGAACCATCCGGATTAAATTTCTTTTTAAAAATCCATTTACATCCGATTGGTTTGCACCCTTTAGGCAATTCAGTTAAAATCCAAGTTTTATTTTTCTGAATAGATTAAATTTCTTTTTGAATTGCCTCAAGCCAAAAAGGAGCCTCTTTTGATGAAATAGCTTGTGAATAAGTAAAAGGTTCATCATTAACAAGATATGTATAAAAATCATTTCCAAAAGATTTTTCTATCCTTGGCCTCTTACTTCTTCTCAAATTAGAGGGTTCATCATTAAAAGTATTATTTTCTTTTAATGGCTCACTTTCACGATATGGCACAACGGTCTTGTATTCTGGCTTTAAAGGAAACACACTCTCAAAAAATTCAGCATTTTTTGTTTCAATAATAGTATTGCAATTAAGCACATCACTTTTCAAAACAAGAAATCTATAAGCAGCACTACATTCAGCATAACCAATAAATATGCAATCAGATGTCTTAGAACCAATTTTCCTCTTCTTAGGATCAGGCAATAAGACTTTAGCCAAACACCCCCACACTTTCAAATATTTCAAATTAGGCGCATGACCTTTCCACAATTCATATGGTGTTCTCTTATTATGCTTATAAGGAATTCTGTTTTGTAAGTGACAAGCAGAAAGAATAGCCTCCCCCCACAGATTATCAGGAGCACCAGAACTAATTAAAAGAGCATTCATCATCTCCTTTAATGTCCTATTTTTTCTTTCAGCTATTCCATTGGATTCGGGCGAATACGGGGGAGTTATCTCATGGATAATCCCTTCCCTCTCACAAAAATCATTTATTAAAATATATTCGCCCCCTCTATCCGATCTCACTCTCTTAATCTTCTTATTCAATTGATTTTCCACCTCGGATTTATACACTAAAAATTTATCAAAAGCCTCATCTTTACTTTTAAGCAAATAAACTTTAGTGTATCTCGAAAAATCATCAATAAAGGTGACATAAAATTTATTACCACCTCTTGTCATGGTATTTTTTAAATCACCCAAATCCGTGTGAATTAACTCAAGCAGTTCTGATTCCCTATGTGTGGTAGGACATGATTTTTTGGTTTGTTTTGATTCAACACAAATATCACATTTTTCTAGTGTCAATTTCTTTCCACTAGAAATCAAACCACGATCACGCAACAAATTGATATAAGAGTCACTCACATGTCCTAATCTTGCATGCCACACATCATATGAATCAATCAAATAAGAAGCATTTTCACGAATTAATTTCGGAATACTAAGCACATAACGTCCATTCTTACAATAGCCTTTGCCAACAAAAACATCATTTTTGGTCATAACAATTTTGTTACAATCAAAAGATACTTTAATCCCAGCTTTTACCAAGAGAGAAACAGAAACTAAATTAGTCCGAAACTCAGGCACATAAAGTACGTCATTTAGTGATAAAGTTTTCCCCGATGTGAGTTTAAGAAGAACTTTCCCTTTACCATGCACCTTTGCGGTTTTTGAGTCCGCTAGGTACACGAGCTCTTCATCATCTCCCATAGTAGTACTATAGGAGGTAAAAGCACTTTTGTTTTTACAAATGTGCTTGGTGGCCCCGGAGTCTACCAACCATTCATTCACATCATTTATTTTACAACTTTGAGAAACAACCGCAATAAAATTTTCATCACTTTTAATCAATTTTATTTTTGATTTAAGTGGATTATTGTTTCTCATAGTTGTCTTTCTATCACATACAATGACATAAATTATAATAAGTGGGATTAAACCAAGGCTTATTGTGAATAGGGTAACAATTAAAATTATCACAAATTGAGATAAAATAATACAGTACGGTACACTCCAATTGTGGTAGTTAGGGGTGAACAAAAAAACCGAAAAACCGAAACCGACCGCCAAACCGACCAAAACCGACCGACCAAAACCGAAACCGACCAAAACCGAAACCGACCAAAACCGAACCGATAAAACCGAAACCGACCGAAATTGACTAATTCATCGGTTATTCGGCTTACGGTTCGTACTTTTGGCTTAAAAAACCGGTCAAATGAAAATAAACCGGCAAAAATGGCTAAAATTGACCAAAATTGTCTCAATTTTTGTGGTCCGATTCTCGGTTTCATCTATTTTTAAAGCCGCTAAAACCGCCCGACTAAAACCGAAACCGATCAAAACCGACCGACAAAAAACCGAAACCGACTAAAACCGAACCGATAAAACCGAAACCGCCAAAACCGAACCGACGGACACCCCTAGTGGTAGTGTATAATTCGAATATGGCAGTACAAGAATAATGAAACCAAAACGATTAACAGAGATACCAGACTGCGTAGTGGGCATGTAAGCAAACATTGCAGCTCCCCTTTTACTTGGAATCGCAGGAGCGCAGATGACATGGATCTCAACAGTGATCCTCGTCCGTTACTACTTTCAGAGATTGTTGGGAATTTGACTTCTTCACTTGCTCCTGGCTGTCCCAGTTTGGCCGACTGAAACACGAGATTACTCAGGCTAAGAGCTTCATCCTTCCTCTCCGGCAGTTTGCGGCGGCATGGCGGTTCCTGGATATCATCTTCTTTAGTTCTTCCATGGCAGCACTTTGTTCTAATCTTATTACCGCAGGTCCAAAACACTTGTGTCGCCAACACGGAGAAAGACCTGCAAAACATAACAACAAGAAACACCGTGGCTCGAGTCGCGTAAACGCTGTCCTCTGAAAGTATTTCCGGTGAACGGAAATCTTCCCCAGGATTAAACGAGCCCTTCGACTAATAGTCGGAACCAGAACTACGAGGGAAATCATCAAATTAATAATCCAGTGTAAGCTTTGAAAAGAACCCATTTTCTGTGTGTAAAGTATTTGGAGAGAAAAGCTTGTAAGAGCAGTTTTGTTCGATGGTAATCTTAGAGCACAGAGCTTCTTGTTTATTAATAGAAAAGGAGTTGGAAAAATAATTGGTTACTGATCCAAAATTATAGGAGAGAAAGAAGCTCAGCCATCTATTACTCCGTTAGCAAACATGCACGTTAGAAAACGGTTCACTCCAGTTAGTCAAATAAGTGCTCGGTCATTAATTAAATTAGACACTAATTAAATCAAAAGTTTTTATTTGAAATACTCTATATATATTTCCAACATCATTAACATACAAAATGTATATATATTCTATTACAATTAAATCTAAAGTCAAATCTCAATATGTGTTTTACAATGATACATTTAAAATTGAGAATATATTAAAAAAAAAATTAGAGCCTAAATATTTTGGATTTAGTTATAAGTGGAACCAGAAACATCAAAAGTTTGGATCAAATATATCTCGATACTGAATCAACGTACGGGAGTAAATCAATATGATTTTGCAATCTTGGCTAGATGTTTGAACCTGATAGGAACTTATACTAAGGGTTACAAATGGATTTGAAATTTGCTAATTTGAAAGTATCAATTTTTGTTTGTAACAACCAATTTTCATACCACAAGGACCTATTTTGATTTCATGCGTTAGATTGTATAATAATAAAAATAAGTAAGGTTTGAATTATTTTTGTAGCTAAATTGGCTGAAACTATTGTAGATGGTCATTTTAGCTATTTTTTCATATAATTTTTTATTTTTTTTAATAAAAAATACTTTGAATATAACTTTTTCCATAATTTAGTAAATTCATCCAATTTAATTGTAACTTCCAGAATGTCACCAATTTCAACTCATTCAGTCGATTCATCCAATTTGAATGTTATCAAACGGGCTCTAAAGTTATCTATTTCAACATATTTAGACAGATGTGAGCATTCAATCTTATTTGTTGTCATTACTAGGGAGACATTTTTCATGTTAATTGAATAATTTTGTATGTAGTAAACATCAAATAAATATTTAGTTATGACTTATGAGCAATGTTCTAAAAGGCGTAAGGCGTGCCGAGGCGGCACGACCAAGCCCGAAGCCTTTGAAGCCTAGGCGGGTTTAGGCGAGGCCTAGGCGTGAAAAAGCGTTTTAGTTTTTTTACTATTATTTCGTATTTATATGTAGTATTACATAATATCACATATAAAGATTACATTTTTATACAATAAGAAATAACTGATATTACTCATAGAAAAATTGTGGAAAAAAATCTGACTTGATAACTATTATTAATTATAGTTATGTTCAAAGTTACATCATAGTGACTACATGTGTAGTCACTGCGATGTACTCAGGTAATTTTGAATACATTTATAGTTACTAATAGTTATAAAGTCTCATTTTTGTTCATGATTTTTTGGTAGTAATATTTTAGTAATATTTGGTAATATTTTCAAGAACAAATAATGTGTTTACATGTTTACTAACTATACAAATACACGAATTAAATAAGAAGTTGGTTGATAAAATAATACTTTTTTGGACAATTGATAAAATAATACTTATTAACAATAGTTATAATAAATACACTAAAGAAAGATTGTGCTTGATGAATAAGGATGTAGCTTTAAAAAATTCAAGTGCAACTGGGTGAGTTGGCATTTCGACGGTGTAATCTAACTTTGATTTGTATGTGTTATTGTAATTATTGTAATATTGTATTATTTCGAATTGAAGTTCCCACACCGGACCAATTAGTATATCCCTCCTTCCAAGAACAGTCCAAATCCAACTTTCGTATGTACGTATTGTATACTTCGAATTCAGTTTTCCCACACCGGATGAATTAGTAATCCCTCCTTCCGAAAACTCGATATACGTAATAAACATTCCATACCCGCACCGTGTATGCAAAGTACACGCCTTTTACCACGCCTATTGAGTAGGCGAGGCGTTTTATTGCCAATTGGGCTTGGGGTACACAAAAGTCATACACACACCTACACACTATAAATAGGCCCAAAAATTACCATTTTTTTACCCTCCCTCCCTCCCTCACATGAAATCAACCCCAGCCTCTCTTCTCTCTCCCCTTCATCGTCTCTTTCTTCTTCCAGCCTTCGGCGGAGAACCGGCGGCGGCGGAGAACCGGCGACGGCGGAAAACCACCGGCGACGGCGGAGAACCGGCGGCGGCGGCCATGGAGGACCTCCCTGAGCTTGGTATGAGTTTGTGCTGATGCTTGATCCTTTATGTATTTGATTTCTTTGAAGTGAAATATATATTTGTTCTTCACAGACAATTCCCTATATTTCTGTGAATGTATAATTTCGTCTGTGTGTTTGTGAAGTTCATATAATCTTGTCTGTGTTCAAAATATTTTAAATTTACTTATGTCTGTGTATAAATAAAATTCTATTTGATATGTCTGTGTATAAATATACTTTGTCTGTGGGTATATATACTTATGTTTATGCGTAAAGAAGTGTCTGGGCAGATTTTAATGTGTTGCCTCATATTTTCTGAAATGTATTTATGTTTGAAAATGTCTATTTGAAATGATTCTTTTCATTTTATCATGTATCATTTCTGAAAATGACACGCCTTTAATATATGTGTTGAATATATCCTTGTTATAAATTATATATACACTTTTAATTTGGTGATTTTATTGGCTTTGAACTTAAATACTATGTATATCTTTGTTCTTCACAGACAATTCTTTGTATTTGTGTAGTGTATAATATCGTCTGTGTGTTTGTGAAGTGTATATGATCTTGTCTGTGTTCAAAATGTTATAAAATAATAACTTATGTCTGTGTAAGTAAACTTCTATTTGAAATGTCTGTGTGTAAACATACTTTTGTCTGTGTGTGTATATACTTATGTCTGTCCATAATAAGTAAACTTCACATATTCGTTGAAATACGTGAATGTCGATCAGATGGAGAAATTCAACAAAATGAACATGAGAGTGACGTTGGTTCTAATACGTGAATCAAAGGCTGGGAATGAAATTGGAAGTACCTAACAAGCTACCGCTCGCTGACCATGACATTGGACGGGGGGTCTTAATGACATGATGAACATGATGAATTGTAGTGGTTTATATTTAAATTTTAGTTTGATCTAAATGTGCACGCATTTATTTTCACAGACATTTATGTATTAGAACACAAACAAACTCTTTGGTCTTCACAAACACAAGACGTGTTTGTGGACATATATAAATTTGCAGTTGTAATATTCTACTTTGATTCAAAAAATTTGATTAACGTATTCATTTTTTTTTCATCACCTCCAAATTACACATGGGCTCCAGTGGTAATCAAAGTAATAAAAATTAAAACTACTAAATTACATAAAGTAGTTAGTAACAATATTTGAAGTGGATGTAAGAACAGATACATAGCACAAACAACAACGACACAAATCACAGACAAAGTCATATTACAGCACAGACACGATTTTTCTTCTTCACAGGCAAAGTCATCCTGTGTATATATTAACACCAAAAACATTAAGTGCTTGCCACAAAAACAAAAAAGGCATATAAATTCAAGTAATATTTGGGAGTACATTCTAGGACATTGTACAACATTGATGTTTTACATCCAAACTCATCCTACATTAAACATGGAGACCCAAACTATTCTACGTTGATCGCTTCGTCAAAGTCGAGAGCCTCATTGCAATTCACATCTTTTTGCCACCATATTCTCATATGCACAGTCGGGCTTCAATGGCAACTTCTGCAATAGTGACTCCGCAATGGCCATAACCATCACGTCGCAAACACCAGATCTGGACAAAAAAAAATTCATATAGACATTACATTTACATGCACAGACAAACACCAGACAAGCATTCTTATATACAGACAGACACACAATCAGTCACACAGACACATGTAGAAAAACTTATGTTTAACTTCATAAATCATACTTTAAGAAACATTTTGACTTGTTCAGTGAAAGGATATTGAGCATCTTTAGTTCCAATGCTTAGACATATACTTCAGATGTGAATGTAAAGTTAAGAAAGTGTGCATAAGTTTGGTATAAAAGAAAAAAGGAAAATGTGACAAAAGTAAAATAATGACATGAACCGGGTATTAGAATTAGTGAATCTAACAAAATCACGAGTGGACATAGTGAAAAACGTTGACTATTCATTGTGTTTTAATTATGAAAATAAGTAACGAACATTATATTGCCAATAAGTTAACTCAATGTGTCTTAATTATATTTTAATAAGTGAATTCATTTTTCAAAACTTTCCTTCAACAAAACCTGCTCTACTCTTATATCGTTGTGTACAAGTATAGACATTCATATTATGCACACAGACATATGTGGAGGGATACAGACACATATAATTCTTCACAGACAAACTCTGCCAGAGCCAATTGCTCGTTGTGTACAAGTACAGACATCGCAATGAGGCACACAGACATATGTAGAGAGATACAGACAATCATAAAATTCTTCACACACAAATGGAGCCAGAGCCAATTGCATATAAGTTCACACAGACAATTATTTAGAGACATCTATCTTTACACAGACAATACACATGTCCTTCAACATGCATAAAATCAACCTTACACAGACAATACATATTCTTCAAAATCCAAGCAATAGATGGGTTCCAAAACTTCATAAACTAAATTATTTTGCTTCACCCTCCAAATTAATATCATCAAATTGCCTAAAAGTGTAAAAAAATTCAAAAACTAAGGAAGATGATACATACCTTTCAGTTGGCGGGGACAAGTCCGCGGCTCTGGCTCCGGTTGGCGGGTGGAGGGTTGGCGCCGGTGAGTTGGGTTCGTCGAAGGGAGATGGTTGGCGACGGCCGCTGAGAGGGGTGGAGGGCGACGGGGAAGAAGCTTCCAGCGACGGGGAGGAGGGCGACGGGGAGGAGGGCGACGGGGAAGAGGGCGGCGCTTTTCTTCGACGAGTCGCATCAGGGAGGGAAAGGGGGGTGTGCAAAAATTTGGGGGCAGGGCTTTTTTCAACGGGGAGGGAATGGGGATGAGGAAAG